ATATATATATATATATATATATATAATGCAAATTTATAACCAATAATTCTAACATTTTATTATTTCCTTATTTATTAATCACCGGATTAATCCAATGAGAGGAAAATATGTCAATTCATCTTCATTTTCATAAAGCAATTTGTGCTTGATATCATTCTTCCCGCACTCGATGTAATTGAGGCAGAAAACTCTCGAGCTCACCCACGCTCAACATCAATCTATCCATGTCTAACATAAATGAGGTTGAGAGCCCTTGTGGCAATCACATTTAGCGTGACTAAACTCGTGTTTGACCCCATTTTAGGTATAAAACCTCTACCTAACTCACACTTAATGCCACTGAACTGATCGACACCCTATGTTATCTAGGTAGAGAGTTTCTATTTCAATCACACCTGACACCACTCAATTAAGATTCGATGTCACTAAGTTAGAGAACTCTAAAATCATCTATGTTTAATGTCATTCAACCTATGTTTAGCATAACCAAGTCAAAAAGTTATTCTTAAACTCATGTCTGACGTTACCAATCTTGTGCCTGATGATAGTGAATTAAAGACTCTAACTCGTATCACGTCCAACACCATGAAGCTAGGCCTAACACGATGATAAATTATACACTTGGCAGATTTAGAAATTGGCCCAAACCACTTGAAACTTAAGAGAATTCAAACATGCAAAGACAAAAAATAAAACACTACCTATATCATAAGCATTTCATTTCTCACCAAAACTACATGCAACCAAGAATCAATCATCATCCACCCAAAATATCCTCAAACGTATTGAAACACCTAAAATCCCATAACATAAGAATTTCATCATTTAATCCTCAACATAGCTAGGTTTTAGGTGTAATTTAGCAACATAAAACATCAACAATCGACAAGATTCAAGTTTTAGTTTCTCTAACATCAAGATCAATTAGAAAAGAGAAAAAGAAGAATGAAACCAAACTCTGAGCTAACTTGGGAAGCTTCGCACCACACTCTGATTCTTAGCCTAAAGCTTAAATTGCTACCTAGTCAGACAAATCTACTTTAAGAGGAAGAAAAAGAAGATATCAGGGAAGTCGATAGAGAAACATTCCTCCACAATTCCAAATCCCTCCTCTCTAAACTCTCTCTAAATTTATTAATAATGAACTTTTGAAACTCAAGTTTTAAAAGAAACCTTATATATCTTTTCCATACAAGTCCAATTTAATCTCTACTTAAAAATATTCCTAAACATTTAAAACTTTTGAGAATTTCTAAATTTTCAAAATTGCTCGACAATTAAACAACAAATCTACATAACAACATATATTTTAATAAAACAACTATAAATAGTAAAAAATGCATATTGTTGCAAAGTTAATTTTATTGAGTTATAAACTTAAATTCAATTTGTAAGATCCATTAAAAAAAATTTAATTTGTAAGTAGCTGGGTTGGGACTCTCTAAAGTAAATTTCTTTTATTTATTAATCATGAATCGAGTAAATAATTACTTTACTCTTTTAATTTGAAAAACACTACAGATTAGTTTATAAAATTAAAAAAATCTCTAAAAATGTATATTGAAAAATTATGTTAGCCTAAAATATAAAAAAAAAATGTGATTAAATTGATATATTAATATATATTCAAAAAGAAAAAATAGTACATTGTTATATTTAAAAATTTATTAATATTTGATAACTTTTAAATTTTAGAAACTAAAATAATAAATTAATAACCCCTTGGAATGATGTTAGGTGACCATAAATTCTTACCTAGGCACAGTAGAGTAGGAACATTTTGTTGCAGTTGCAGTGTGGGGATGGATGGCAAAAGTATGCAATAGAGAAGTTGAAAATGACTGACGTGGAAAGAGATGGTGCGTTTCGTTTTGGATAAGCATATTCACCAACCCAACCCTATGGCTGTGGGACACTTACATGTCAATTTATCCTCCAACAATCAATATATTTATTTTATGTATTTTTTTTTTTGGTTCGTTCGTATAGTAACTCATAGTCAGGATGGTTCTGATTAATTTTTAATTTGTTTGATCTGGCTTAAATTTTATAATTTTTTTTTATCTAATTCGAACTAAACCAACTCAATATTAAATAGGTTGGTTTGATTCATATCATTATATATCAAATAAAAAATAAAATAACTTTAAAAAATTAAAATAAACATGATTTTGTCTAACTTAATAGACAATATATTGTTATAAAAGAATGTAGATTATATATTTGAATGTAATTAACTTACATTAGTTAAATAATAGTATAAATTAAAAAAATAAATATGAATAATTGATTAAATTATTACTTGATCTATGGTCTATAATTATAGAAAGAAAATTAACTTGAAAAAAATGAGAATTTCAAAATTTCAATTATGAAGTTTTATTTATAAAACCTTAAATTTGAAATTGAAACACAAAGGAATGTTTCAAAATGATTCATAATATTTACTATACTAACTAACAGAAAAATAATAAAAATAATAATACTTAAATAGTGTGTCAAAGTATAAATTTGATATTTGAACCAATTAATATCATATCTCAATTGATTCAATTAGCCTCCAACCCGATTTAAAAAAAAATTGAACTAAATTAATGGATTCAATTCGAATCATTGAGTTCATTAAATTGACCCAAACTAATAAACACCATAATAAAATCTTGACAAATATATATATATATATATATATACACACACGTGTGTC